GAGAGAGAGAGAGAGAGAGAGAGAGAGAGAGAGAGAGAGAGAGAGAGAGAGAGAGAGAGAAACGACTCGTTTATTTTTCCAACCGCAGAAATTTACACGTCGTCGTCGTCGCATGGTCACGCTTTATCAATGCGCGTATCTCTACCTGGAGAAATTCTCAAGATATCTCTCCGTGGCCACCATTCACCACTGTCTTCCGTCATTCGACGACAGCAGGACGACGCAAGGCGAATGGGAAATTCCATTTAATAACCCAATTAAAGCTCGAATCTCCGTCCACTTTGCGATCTCTCGCGGAGAGAAAGAGAGAGAGAAAGAGATCGTCGTGGAGGAAAATCGGGTCGTGCGAAAATCTTGGCACGGTAAAAGTGAACGTGGATTTCCTTGAATTATTCTTGATACGCGTCGAAGTGCCGAGTCCCGGCTTAAAATAACGATAGTGTGCGAAGTGTGCGCGCGCACTAAATGACGTTCGCGGATGTGCGAGTTAGACTCTTCGTCAAATATTGTTAATACGATTTCATCGCGAGCGCTCTGCGGATCGATGTCGCCCGAGGCGTGCCCGATCATTTCTCACGTTTCCCTCCATTTTTCTCATTGCAGGTCAACACCAGAAATGAGTGGGCGTCGTTGTGCGAACAGTTCCATCTCCCGAACGGTTGTATTAACAGCGGGGTCGGCCTTAAACAGATCTACTTGCGGTAAGTTTAATTTCTCAAAGACCAATACAATCGATTCAGCACTCTGCACCCCTAAGAATAACCGCGCGATCGAAATACAATTTCCACACGGTGGACAAAAACTGAAATTATCCCGCGATGTATCATCTGCAAACGGTTGCACTGAACTCGTTGTGACCCGCGTATCAATTTTACACACTAAACCGAGCTATTTTCGCAAATCCTGCGCGCGTGATACTCTGAACTTTGTTCTAGCCCTCGGCAACAATTTGGCAAGCGCATGCGACACGCGTGATGTAATTAGTCAGACCGAATCGTCATTTCGCGCTGTCAGGTTCGCTAAATTCGAAATCCAATGGTTTCCTTGGAACCTTTGGTGCAATTTCAAATAACCCTTCTAAATAACCTAGTATTAGATTACGCATTGGAGATTAAGATTTGCAAGTTGAAAATTGGAATTCGATCGATAAAGACAAAGTTAAAATGTTTGATTGAGGTTGACTTTAATTGGGGTTTGTGGAATTTTAATCTCTAATTCACTATTCTCGATTTTTAATACCTAATTCGATGCAGACTTTGTATCTGCATTTACCGCGGTTGGCATATTGAAAATTGCAGGTTAAAAACCGAAGTTTGATCGCCCAAAAAATTAGATTGACTAAGATGGACATTAATGGATACGTCAAATTCTAATCTCCAATCCGCAATTCATTTCTAACGTTTGCTTCGATATCGGCTTTGTAACTGCGTCTACACATTGAAGATTGCAAGTTGATGATCGAGGTTTGATCGTTCAGGACGAAGTTAGATCGATTGACTTAAGTGAACATTAATTGATCCGTCGAATTTCAATTTCTACTCCGCAATTCATCTTTCACGTCGGATTCGATGACGGGTTTTGTAGCTGCGTTTCGACCGCACGTGGTTGTTGGCACGTAAAAGTATTCGCTCCGGAGGAGATCGGTCGGAGATCGGCGCCGTTGAAATCGCGATGGCGACGTCGACAAGCGCCACGGGGCTTGGTCGCGAGGCGATTTCGCGGAGCGGCTCACGCTTGCTACTATGTTCCATTGCGTCTGGCAGTCCGCGAGCGTCTGCAAGAGGCAGGGAGTAGCAACGTTTTGCCGCACGGCCAACACCGCGTATCGGCATTGGTCCCTACGCCCCACCACCATTTTCCGTATCGCGTACTACGTACGTTCGCGTTCATTCATGTCCCGGCCTCGCTCTACGAAAGCCACGTGGTTCCTGAGTCTCGCTTTCCTCTCCCTCCCCCTCGCTCTCTCTTTCTCTCTCCGGCGCTCTCCGGCTCTCTGTTTCCCTCTCCCTCTTCGGAGCGAGCCCTGCAATCTTGTTAGGCGCCTTGCTGCCAAGCGCGGACACGCCACCGTGTGACGCCGCCGCCGTGTCGTCTCTCTTCTCTCCACCGCGATATCGTAAGCGATTTTTCGCCACGGGGATTCCGCACGGGGCTCGCAAGCTCTCTCGGAGCTTTTTTCTCGCGCGACGACCGACACCTGTGCGTTATCGTCGGTGGATGAGATCATCCGTGAATTACAACCGACCGACATGCAACCCGAGAGTCGAGAATTAATTACTGCATCCAAGTCGGATGGAGTGCAATGAAGACGCGTTTGTGGTTCCCGTTGCTCTGAGCTTCGAATTCGCTGAAAGAGCTAGACGTTGAGTTTGCATCCAAGCTCCACAAAGTCCTGGATCTGATTGCAACGTTGGATTAAGCGAGGCCGGCTTCTCGTCGTCCTCCGAATTACAACTTCTACAGTACATGCCCGGGCGCAATGTGGGAGAACTCGCTGAAACCAAGTCGCGGAAGCTATGGTATACCCTACAACTATTGACTGCAACGCGACGGAATAACGTACCTTGATCTTCTCTTACGTGTGTAACTTTCCAGGCGACTGAAAGTTACGTGCAAGCCACACATCAGTCGAATCCGCGTCCAATAGCGCGACAAGAAAATATCCCCCGCGTTTCTGCAATTTCTTTCCCCTTATGATATATGCAAATGAACCAGATACATCGTTGCATGTCGTCTGTGAGGCAGCCTCCAAACCTCCGCGACCATTTTTCCTCTCGGGATTTCGATTCGCGTTGCGATCTACCAGGCGACGACCACCACCACTACCAACAGCACCACGTGGCTTCAGTCGGAGCGTCCATGATTTACTATAGCGCTACTAGGCAACGATGACGACAGCAACAGCGCGGCACCGCGCGTGACACACGCGTGCATAGACACGCGGTCGCCGCGGCGGTAGTCAAAGTGTTCAGTCCGCACCCGCCAACGGCCAATCAGGCTCTGGCTGCTTGCTCCACCGCCTGCACCTTCCGCACTGTACGTCGGTTGCATGAATGGATCCACTACACCTACCCCCACCACTTTCTTTCGCCCACCCACGTCACTCTCTCTCTCTCTCTCCCTCCCTCCCTCTCTCCCTCCCTCTCCCTTTTTCCCATCGTCTCATGATCTCCTCTCTCTCTTTCTCTTTGTCTCTTCCTCTCTCGTTCACTCTCTTTCTCTCCCTTCGTTTCACGCAGCCACCCTGTTCCCGCGAGCATCGCGCGAGTTCGTCGCACCTTCGTCGGTCGGATAGACGGACGGATGGACGAACGGTCGATGGATCGGTCGGTCGGTCGGTCGGTCGGTCGGTCGGTCGGTCGGTCGGTCGGTCGGTCGGTTTCTCGTTCGTCCCTGTGGAGTTCAGCGACGCCGCGGCTTCCTTCATAGGCTGCAGCGCCGCCGATAGTAGAACGTCGTTGTGAGCCGCGCGTTCTTGAGGTAGAAGTTCGCGCGCCACGTGGTGATCTGCCGTCATAGCAGGTCAACCGGTTCTCTTCGCGCGCTCGGCGTGGTGCCGCCGCAGCAGCAGTTGCCAATCTTGAACGGGACGGATTTTTTTCACGCGGTTGATCTTTCTTCGCACCCGAGCGTTGGTTGGTTTCGCGATGATAGATCGGTCGCTCGTCGCAATTCCAATGTAACCCCGAGGATCGGTTTTAAATAAAAGATGAAAGAACGTGTTTTTGCACGAACCAAGATTGCGCGAAAGATATTAATGCAGCCGGAATTATTTCAGGTATCTGGACAGGTATGAGAAAGTACACTTCTTAGGCGAGGATGGTCAGCAGGCAGACGACGACGATGAAGATTCCAGACACCGGAAATGGTCGGCTAGGGCATTACACTCCGTTCCTCTCACTTACAATCACCATCAGCACAATATCGCAGGTGAGTCGTCGACTAATCGCATAGCTGGGCGTCGGCTTCGTTATTCATTCCTCTACTCTTTTTTACATTCATGAAGATTTCTTATTTATAGTTGTCTAAAGCCATTCCGACGGTTATGAATCATTTATACGCACCGGAGAGACGCGTCATCGATATTCGCATACGTTATCGGTAACTCGTTTGTCTTACATTCATGAACTCGGAGAGAGAATAATAATTTGTTTACTTATTATCGCGTGAAATTAGTGTTCCGTGTCAAAAGAGAGAAAGAGAGAGGAGAGGAGAGGAACGCGCATCCGCCGACAACGGCGCATTCGATAAACCATTCTTGCCAATTTATGCCGGCGCGTTCCGATACAATTCGCATGTGCATACGTACGCATCGCTCGAGCGACTTTCAAATACGTTTTCCATCGCCCATTGTTTTCCTCCTTGTCGCACTTTATCGTTGCGTCGCGCACACGCAGTATTCTCTCTCTCTCTCTCTCTCTCTCTCTCTCTCTCTCTCTCTCTCTGTCTCTCCGTCGCCTTTTCCTCTGTTTGTACGTGCGACGAGTCACGGTTCAATAATTCACTGCGTTCGCAATTTCCGCCTGTCAGAATTTTTCGCTCACGTTCCCATGTCGTCCCAGCGACACCGCGTAAAAATAGCGCGGTTCGATTACACTCCGCGAATAGTTCGCCTCCCTCGCGACTGCCCCTCTCACCCTTTGACTTTCATCCCACCCTTATCACGAGAGTGGTATTCGAATTTCGCACGACCGCACGCGAAACGAGCCGAGGTGACCAATGTTGCCATAATCTGCCGATCACTGGATTATCCATAATAATTATCATGCGATAATAATTATCTCCGGTGATTGAAACAGCAACTATCGGCGGTGGTAAGCAACTAGAGAGAGGGAGAAGGAAAAAGAGAGAGAGAGAGAGAGAGAGAGAGAGAGAGAGAGAGAGAGAGAGAGAGAGAGACGCCTTCGATCGATGGAGCGCGATGTTCGTTCGCAATCGCTAATCGTAAACGGGGGCATTTCAATCGAGGCATCTCTCGTCACCCGGGTGCAAGAGGAGGAGAAGGAGGTTTGGTGGTTCTCGCTGTTCATTCTGCGCGGTCGCGTCGCGAGCTCGTCGCGGGATATGCACGGTGGCGCGTCTTCGCGAGAGCCCGCGTGGTGTGAGATGTGTATGTGTGTGTATGTATGCACAAACCGCTAAAGCGCGCGCGATACCACAGCGCGAGATACATATATATTATACCAGTACCGCGGCCAAGGCGGCAACGGGTTATTGACGTGCTGTGCTCCTGCCTCTGAGAGTACAGCAGCGACGGGCTATCGAGCCGGAGAGGGATATAGAGAGATAGATAGATAGATATATAGATAGAGAGGAGCGGTGCCGTGCGGTGTGGTGTGGTGTGGTGTGGTGTGGTGTAGTGTGGTGTGGTGCGCACATGCGAATCGTGGCGGCGGCGGTGGCCTGGCTGGGAGCCGCGACCGAACGAGCGCGCGAGTGCATTCGTGCGCGCACCCGTTGCATACAAACGTAGGGAGCAAGAGGAAGAGAATAACGACAGGGGCAGAGGGGGCGCTGCGTGGGAGGGGTCGTGCGGGCGTGAGCAGCGTGTACAAGATAATTTAATGTGCAGTAATCGTGACACACATGTTGTATACATGCATACGTCTATACATGTGTACACACACGCATATACGGAGGGAGAGGGGG